GAGGGGTCTGTTCTTGTGTCCTGTTAAAGTATGTCAGGGCGCTCACGTGGTTTAGAGGTTTCACCTCTCATCCAAGAGGTCCAGGGTACGAATCCGGATAGCCACGGGAAAATGTTCTACTCTAAAATGTTCCTCCTTTCCCATCCTTTCCTGCTCTCTAACATTGTTCTAACAAGGGTGGACGGGCGCACTGGATCTCCCCCAGACTCCTAAATCTCTCACAAGTGGCTCCAAGCGCCACACCCCAGGACCTTGCCTCAGCAGGCGTGCCAACCCGTGTGAGGGGGTGACGTTAACACTGCACCACTGGGCGTAACCACAAGATGCAGTGAACAGCCAAGGCGGGATAAACCTAACGGTTTCGTGTTCGAGACCAAGGCGAGCCATCTGGTGGGAGGATTTCGGCTGTGGTCTGGCATGGAGAGGGATGGACTCCGCCATGCAAAATTGTCCAAAACGTCAATGAAGATAACAGCCAGAAAAAAATCCCATACCGGCTCGGTCGTCGCCAAGAACGAAGACCGCTTCTTACGTTGATGGTCACAAGGATGAAAGAGGAAACTATGCTACAAGAAGACCAACAAAAAGTATACATGCCAGAAGAAACATTGTCATTGGCACATGGAATGTGAGAACTTTGAGAGAAGCAGGGAAAGTTGAGGAACTAAAGCACGATATGAAAGGATACCGTTGGAATCCTGGGAATGTGAGAATTACGATGGAAGAACTTCGGAGAAACATCAAGCCCAGAAGCGCATAACTATACTACAGTGGCAGAGAAGACCGCCATGAATACGGAGTTGGAATACTCATTCATAAAGACACTGTGAACGCCGTCTTGGGTTGCCGGCTAGTTTCCTCCGAAGCCGACTCATGGCCATACGCTTGAAAGCATCACCATTCAAGCTCACTGACATCCAAGCATATGCACCAACAACAGCACACGACGATGAAGAAGTAGAGCATTTCTACATCCAACGCCAAGAAATACTGGGCGAAACACCGAAGAAGGATATCATTGTGGTACATGGCGACTGGAATGCTAAAATCGGGGAAGATGCAATGAAAGAATGGGAAGGCATCTGTGGACCCTACTGCAATACCAACACCAATGATAGAGGTCTATGGGCTCCTGGAATTTGCCAGCTATAACAACCTAAACCTGATGAACACTTTCGGCCCTCACAGATCATTAAGAAGATGGACGTGGTGCAGTCCAAGCGGATATTTACATCAGATAGACTACATCATGGTCAAGCGTCGCTTTCATAGCAGTGTCAACATTGCCAAGACCAGAAGTTTTTCAGGAGCAGACATCGGCAGTAATTACAACCTTGCATTGATGACATTCTCACGGCGTCTTAAAACGTGCAGGAAACAAGGCAACACCAGGATCAAGTTCAACTTTCAAAGACTCAAAGACCCAACAATATTAAAATGTTTTCAAGCAAACATAGGAGAAAAGTTTGCTCCACCCCTAGTGCTAAATCAAGATGATACAGAAGTTAACTCCCTGACAAACACCTTTAACACCACCATGACAGAAACAGCAAATGAGCCCCTTGGGAAACATCGCGTGAAAAAGATGCTCTGGGTCACAGATGACATCTTTGACCTATGTGACAAACGAAGAGCTCTGAAGAACAAGAACAATGAACCAGAAGGTGCAAAAGAATACAGATACATGAATCTGCAAGTGAAAAAGAGAATGAGAGGAGCTAGACTGAAGTGGATTGAAGAACATAGTGAAGAAGTTGAAGACAGCCTGGATCAAAACAACAGTAAAAAGGCTTACCAAATCATCAAAGACCTCACAAGTACCAAACAAGGGCGGACCACTTCAATACAAAGTAAAGAAGGGAAATATCTAACGGAGGAACAAGAAGTTCAGACCCGGTCGACAGAATATTGCTCTGAACTGTACACCCACAAAACCACAGGAGATCCAAGAGTGCTCAATGTCTCTCAATCAAAAGACAGTGACAAAAGCAGTATCTTAAGTGAAAAGATAGTGGCAGCAGTCTCATCATTGAAGAAAGGGAAATCAGCTGGAATAGACAACATCACAGCAGAAATAGTTCAAGCAGGTGGATATTCTGTGATAGACATGCTATGGATAATCTGCAATAAGATCAGGCAGACAGGCGAATGGCCAAAGTCATGGACTCAATCTTTGATCATCACCCTTCCCAAGAAAGGCAATCTTCAACAATGCCAAAACTATTGTACTATTAGCCTGATTAGCCATCCTAGTAAAGTAATGTTAAAGTCATCCCCAACAGACAGAAGCCACAAGCAGAGAAAATCATAACAGAAGAACAGGTAGGCTTCAGTACAGGGTGTAGCACAACTGAACAAATATATGCAACTTGAGAATCATCATGGAAAAGTACCTCCGACACTAACAGGAGCTTCACGTATTTATGGACTTCAAAAAAGCTTTTGACAGAGTATGGCAGGAAGCGCTGTGGGCAACCATGAACTTATACAACATCAACGCCAACCTGATCAAAGTTATAGAAAAGTTATACAGCAAAGCTACGGGCGCAGTCTTTACCAACAGCAACATTGGGGCATGGTTCCGAACAATAGTGGGAGTACGCCAGGGTTGTCAGCTCTCACCCACTCTTTTCAACATTTTTTTGGAGAGGATCATGACAGATGCACTTGAAGATCACGAAGGAACAATCAGTGTTGGGAGCAGAACGCCTAATAACTCACGTTTTGCAGACGGCATAGGCGGCCTTGCGAGACAAGAGCAAGGACTAGTGAGCTTAGTAGACCGTCTTGAAAAGACCACAACCTACAGCATGGAAATCAGTGCTGAGAAGACGAAACGGGTGTTTAACAACAGCAAGAATATCACAGTGAACATCCAGGTCAACAACCAAAGGCTTGAGACCGTACGCAGCTTCAAATACCTGGATGCAATAGTAACAGACGAAGGATCAAAACTAGAAATAATCTCCAGAATAGCGGAAACTTCAGCAGCATTGACCAAATTGAAAACAATCTGGAACGACAGAAATATCACCATCAGACCAAAGATTAGACTGATGCGAGTCCTGGTCATGTAAGTATTTTTATGCGTGTGAAACCTGGACCTTGAATGCAGACCTTGAAAGAAGGATCAAAGCTATGGAGAAGAGATGCTTCAGAAAAATCCTTCATATCTAATACAAAGATCACACCACAGAATTAAATGATGAAGTCAAACAACAAATCAAAAATGAAATCGGACCATACCCTGACCTTCTCACTCTGGTCAGGAAATGCAAACTGCAATGGTATGGACACATCATCCGTTCATCCGGCCTTGCCAAGATGATCCTGCAGGGCAGCTTCCAGGGGAAAAGGAGCAGAAGCAGACCGAAAAAGAGTTGGGAGGACAACATCAAGGAATGGACAGGCGCTCCAACGGACATCCAGTCTACGGGATAGGTGAAGGTGACGGTGAACATTGTTCTGTCGTCTGCTTTCGTCTGCACTTTCTACCCCCATCCCTCACCTCCTTTGTCCTTTCTCTGGGCTTCTGACACTTACTGCAGCCTTTCTAATGCTACTCCTTGGTTCCTTCTGTCTTTCAGCCACACCCCTGATCTTATGATAGGTACGATCTACACCTAGCCTTCTCGGATAAGTCGACAACTCTCTGAGGTCTCGTGCGCAAGTTGTGCACGTTAAAGATCCCTTAAATTGGTTGTCCGAAGTCGATTTATAAGAGTGGGCTTCGGCCGCCGCCCGGGTAAAATTCAAAATATCCTACCAACTGAAAATATTTAATGTGTCCCGCGCCCTCAAATGACCTTATGCTGTTGCGGGCGCCGTAAAACACAAACAAAAAAGAATTTAACGGGGTGGTGGGGGGGGGGGGGTATGACACCCCACCCCCCGGCCCGTATGTCCTGTTTACAGTCCATCAAAGGTGATAGTGGGAGGGTGTACGTTTTAATTGTTGTTACAGTATGTCAGAAAGGGGCCGGGGGTTCCCGGAATGCCAAGAATGTGTCTGAGTCTGAGCCTACACACTTCGCTCGGTGGGCCCAGGTCTGAGTGTTCTAGCAGGGTCTACGAGGGTAATAACAGCTACATGTACATAAGGCATGCTGTAGAGCGTGGACATAATGCGCTTTTATAAAAATGCAATGATGATGATGATGATGATGATGATGATGATGATGATGATGATGATGATGATGATGATGATGATGATGATGACATGATGATGATCATGATGATGATCATGATGATGATGTTCCTAAGTTCTGTTACAGTTGTAGGGAGATTGAGGTATGTCCCTATGTCTTGTTGCAGAATGTCATAGGGAGATAAGGGTGTAGAGGCTACTGCCTTACGTCCTGTTACTGTTACATAGCCCAATGTTCGTCCTGTTATGGTATGTCATAGGGAGGTTGAGGTATGTCCTTATGTCCGGTGACAGAATGTCACTGGGAGATTGAGGTTTTGAGGTTTGTCCATATGTACTGTTACAGTATGTCATGATTAGGGTATGTCCTTAGGTTATCTCCTATGTTCTGTTATGGTATGCCATTGGTTGAGCTATGTCCTATATCGTGGTTATTCTATATCACAGGGAGATTGATGTATGTCCTATGTCATTCCAGGTTATGTGTACGGTATTCTAAAAGTAAAAGGCTATGCGTGTGGTTAACCATTCTATACGGTTTTGGGGGGGGG